GGGGTTGCATTCTGATAAATCTATCATAAGCTGAACATTATCAAAAGTTGAAAATACTTTTAATCCACCTAACCTACTGAATGTCCTACTTTAGCAACATACTACCCTCTGAGCATTTATTGTTTACCCTGTGATCAACTGTGATGGAGTGGTGGACTGGGACCTGTGTCTCTCTGCTGCTGCCCAGCATCAGAAGGGAAGACTGCATTTCATATCACCAGCCCAAGAAAAGATTTGCATTCAAACTTCAGTGTAAAGTTTCTACAAAACATGTACAACTTTCACACCATCTTAATGTAAAAAAAATCATAAATTGAACCATTATAAGTTGAGGACCTACTCTTTTTCTATTGACTATCGCTTTTCTTTTAGTAAATGACCTTTGTTTTAATATTTTAGTGTTATGATTCCCAAATATTAAAGATTAAATTATTAAGACACTTTGTGTGTCTAAGTATAGCTTCTAAGTTAAATTACATTGAATCTCAAATTAGGGCACCTAAAGTGAGTCAAATTGAGTGAAGTTGCTAAACACAAGACAAAGAAACAAATCTTGTTACTAACCCATTAAAATGATATTTCTTGCATAGCATAAATATTATACCTAAGATATTGTTGTCCATGTGTGGGGCTAGGAATTAGAATAATAAATTTGATTTACTTTTAGAGAAAAAAAGTAAAACAGATTCATCTGAAGCCTGGTTGAACTTTTCAAATGAATTCACTGGTTTGGAGCAGTTGTGTACTGCAGCTGTGAAAGTCACAGTAAGGTTTATTCAAAACAAGGATTATGAATCTCAAGTCTTGCATCCCTGTGTGGTTGAATGAAGTTGCCATGTCTGCTTCCACATTTGTAGGGAAACAGCTTCAAGTGTGTTTATATTATGCTTCCTTCACTTTTCTGCTGCCTCCCTTAACTATGGCCTAAAGACATAGATGTTGCTGGAAAACAGGAAAATGCCTGACGTCAGGCTGATCTTTATTCTGTAAATTCAGCTGGCATCAACCATCTAAATAGTAGAAGTCCAGGACAGAAACCATCCGATGAGCTCCAGAAAATGTCAGCCACAAAAATATCAATTCTCAAAATAACTACTTAAAAAAGCATCTTACCATATTACTCTAGTAATACCTTCAAGGTGTAAACTTCTTCCTCTATCAGATTGATCCTGGCTCAAGCTTCACTCTGAAGTTCAGTCATTGGAGGGAAATCATTTAGGATTCCATCATTCATTTTTAATTAAGTAGATCTAGCCCTAGATCTCACTACTTACTATGGCTTTCTATTTCCTGTAGTTCTTTAGCCAAAACATTTTCTTTCTTTAAAGGAATGGCTCTTTTGAGTGAAATGTTTCCCGTTTAGGGATAAAGGTTAGAGTGACATTTGTTCCCACATATAGGGTGTGTCATTAGAGCCAGGCTCTGACAGCCTGATTGATGAATCAGGATGCTGATGGATGAGCATTGTCTGGATGGTAGAAAAATGTGTAATAAGGAGGGAGGTGATAAATTTATGATGCCAGACATAATAAGGTTAAAATGTCCTATGCCAGAAAAAAAGAATAATTTCAAAATATCGATACAGTAAATATACATGTACTTCTTGTATATAGGACTTTTTATCAGAGTCATGAATTTCTCCCTTGTTCTTCCTATTATATCCTGCTGCCACTGAAATACTAATTACTAATTACTGAAATAGTAATGTGGAAATAACACTTTTTGGCCACATACACTATTCTTTTGTGAATGTTGCTCTTCATATTCTCCCAAAGACATGAACATTTACTATTCCATTCTGCCACATGAGAATCAAAACTATAGAACAGTATGTCATGTTTAAACAGTAAGATTGATTGCACTTCCCAAGCCATGTAAACTTCTATTCATTCATATAATAGCATTTTCACCTCAGTTGTTTGACTTATTTGGGCCAGATTATCTGATGATAATTTCAGTTCTCCATCGCTATGTGTGTATTTTACCAAGTAAGTGATGTGCTTGTTCTATTGTAGTTTAATAACTCAGACAAGCTATCCACTTTTATTTGTTTACTATTACCACAATAATGCTGTATAACAAACCATCCAAAGGTCAATGTCTTCATTTTATCTTCATTATTTTATAATGGATATTTTGAATTTACTTGTGTCAGGCTGGCTGATCTTGGCTGTAATGTTTAGGCCAGGTTTGTGTCTACTCCACATGAATCCATTTTCTCTTTGCACAAGCAGTTACCTGAGGGTATGGTCTCTGATGGTCAGAGGAGCACAAAAGGCCTAGCCATAATACCACACACACACACACACTCAAGGCCTCTGCCTACATCTTGGCCACTAATATTCATTGTCCAAAGCAAGTCATATGGCCAAGCCTAACACTGAATGAACAGAAAACTGCTCTGTCCATTCTATTGCATTATAAAGAAAGAGACTGACAGACCAAGGAACTGAAGAATTAGGAGCAGTCAATCCACTACTCAGGCTATGACAGCACACTCCAACAGTTTGAGGGTTCTTCTTCTGCGATTCCCTAGAACAAGGGTGTGTCTGCTTTATGACATTACTTTTATTAGTAGTACTACAATTATAATATAAAGTGTGCATAATGACATTCACTGTGACCAAGTATAATTATCATTCTTCCCTTATTAATTTGTTGACAACAATTAATAAGTAAGAAGTGGTAAAATTTATAGCTTGACATTTCTAAAATAACATTTAGTTTGGGGAGCAGATATATTATTAGAATAATGTATGTCATCCTTCAACTCTTCATTGCCCTTTGTCATTCCAGCTTACACTGTGGCAGTGAATGCTTGTTTTATTTTCTTTTTCTTGAAGTGATAGGTATTGAAACCAGAGCCTTGTGCATTCTAGACAAATGCTATACCACTAAGCTATATTCTCAGCCCTGCCATACTCTATTAAGTGGTCTCATCTCCTCTGGTCTCTTTCCCTTTTATGTAAGATGCTGATACCAGACAAATTTTTCAAACCAGACAAATGATCAAACTTGATGCATTCTCATTCTACCACTCCTCTGATCAAAACCCTTGGAAGTGGATCCCCATTATCCTTGGAATAAAGGCTAAATGCTTTGTTATGATGGGCATTTAAGACCCTCCATCGCATATCCTATCATCTTCCTCCATGCTTTTGCTTTATCATTTTCACACAGAACTATGATTTCCTATGCATATAATATTAATTCTTGTTCATGTAACCTTTGGCCATGAGGTTCCTTTAGCTTTGAATTGTCAGTCCTAATCCTGTTTCTACATGGTTTTATTACACTTATTCTTCAAGTCCCAGATCAAACATCACATTGGAGCATTCTAGATTTTCATAACCTGAAGTCACTTTCCCTTTCTTATAAAACTTGAAAATGTTTCTTGATTCTTTTAGGACATCTATCATCCTCTAAATTGTATCATCATTATTTATCTATGTAATTTCTTCTAATGTACTATCATTCATCTTTTCCCACTTCAATCCTAAATATACTTCCTTGAATATTAAAACATTTAATGAATAAATAAACCTATTACTTCAATAATACTCATTACCCTAAGTAATTGTTCTTCTCGACTATGCATGCCAATAAGCTTAAGTGTTTTTTTAAAATACCAGTCCACCATAAAAGCTGGTCAGACTTCAATTCTTTCTTTTGTGTTCAGGTATGTTTCCTGAGCACAATCATTAGCAACATTAGTGCAGCACTGTCCATTGCTCTTAGACTTCATAGTAATTTTGTCCTACAGACTTTATGGGATTGAGCCTTTGGAAGCATTTCAACTCCAGGAAATGGCTGACTGTGCAAATAGTTTTACCTTACTTAGAAGCTAAGGACAGGGCAGTTGTGACTTATTAAAGAGTGCACCTGTCCTGAAAGCAACTCTGAACATTTGCTGTCCATCATAATCAGAGTTGGGGAGGGCTACCATTGTTCTTATTTCCTGCCAAGATCCAAACACAACATCTTAGTGCCCCACTGTTAGCAGATGTATAATTGGAGTGAGACAGAGATGGATGACTAATGGTATTTAACTTTGGAACTGGTAATGACCTGTATTTATGTAGAAAGCAAGCTTTATGAACATTACTTTGAGCACCAATTTAATTCCTATTCCTATAATGACTGCTTTGATCTCAATTCATCCTCACTGTTTCTTTCAAGATTGTCAGTAAGTCTTCTTCTTTTTATGCTTTTCCTACATCATTTCTGAGGCAACTGCTTAGCCTAAATCCAGTGTTCAGAGGATTTTGTCCCTATTTTTTCCACAGTAGACCACTTACTCACATTTGGAGTATTCTTTATCTCTTTGTGTTTTTATTCAGTATTACAAAGTTTTTATTTAAAAGTAGCCATTTTTCTCTAATAAAGTAATTCTTCAACTTTCCCTTCCCCTTGATTTTGGAAAAGAAAAAAAAATCAAATATAGAATGTGGTTTAATATAACCTTGACTGCAGTATTAAATGCTCTTGGCTCTCTTTTTTGTCAGACAATTTGAATAAAAAATTGTTGGGAGGCAGTTCTCTTGGGGTGTTGGGTAAATCTTCATAAATTCAGTTTTAAGTCTTGGCAGTATTCATAAAAGAAGAATATAAAAATAAAGTGTATTCACATTTTCTGCCAGTTTTATTATGTAAAATACTTGATTTTGTACAAAATTGGATTTTTTGAGAGAAACTTGAGTGAACCACATGAGCATTTCCAAAGATGCACATAGAACCAAATATGTTTACTTGCTCTTTGAAGTAATTGCACAGTGATAAGGAGGTGACTCGGGTTGGTGGTGAGGGTAAAGAGGGAAGTAAGTAAAACAGATATCAAGGGAAGTGGAAAAAACACCTGCATGAACCTGACCAAGCTCTGGGAACAGCCTCATAATGTTCATGTGTGACAAAAAATAGAAACTATGTATTGAAAAGTCTTCCATGTGAAAGTTAAGATTTTTCTGCTTGGTCTGCATAGTGATGTGTTTTTGTTTTAACAGGACCTCAGCATGGATGTGGTGGCTATCTGACAGGTTCCCCCGATAGCTTTGTCTCTCCTGATTCTGATTCAGATGGAAGATATGACAAGGGTTTGAATTGCATATGGTTCATAATTGCACCTGAAAACAAATTAATTAAACTCACCTTCAATACATTTGCTTTGGAGTCAAGAGCTATTTCACAAAGATGCACTTATGATTATGTAAAGGTAAGACTATTATAACAGTTTACAAACCCAAGACTGTAATCTTTTTATTTATTCATTAGCATATTATAGTTGAACTGGGGACACGCTCTGACATTTACAAAAGCCCTAATGATATGTCTTAGTTAGATTCATCCTCTCCATCTGAACATTTTCCACAGGTCTCATTGTTTCATTTTCATACATGAAAACATAATACTTCCACCATGTTCACCTTCATTCATCCTTTCCTTATGCCCTCTCTCTCCACTGTTACCAACCCCTGCACAGGACTTGTTTTACTTTCCTGTCCTTCATTTTTTAAAGACATTTTTGTCTATTTATGAAGGTTATACAGAGAGTTTCATATATATATATATATGGAAATGTCATAATGAAACTCTGTATAATCATCAGATATATATTACCCTGAATTGGTTCATCCCTTCCATTATTCTCCTTTCTACCTTAGTCCCCCTCTTATAATGATTTCAACAGGTTCAATATCCCACCTTCATATGTGTATAGAAAGTACATCGACCTTATATTGTGTATTCTAACTTATGTCATATAGAAGCTTGAAAAAGAAGTGTTGCCGCTTTGTACAATGTTTTGTTCTTCGATGATGCAGCATACAATATTACAGATGCTGTATCCTCATGTCAATTAATCTCTAGAATGGATGGTTTAAAAATTTTATGTGGCTAAATCACTTTAAGATTCAATTTGCTTCAACACTGCCTTCTCAAGAGATGATCTATGGGAAGATAGACTGTATGGGGAACAATACTTAAGGACTGTTGGCAAAATCTAAAATAAATAACAATACCTACAGTTCAAAGAATCATCCCTTAATTTGTCTATTTCTTAAATTAAAGATTTACTTCTCATATTATCTTTATGTATGGAGAATATTTTAGTTCTTACTTCCCATTAAAAGTAAAACAAAGGTGGGCATGGTGACTCATGCCTGTAATCCAGGAACTCAGGAGGCTGATATAAGAAACTTGTGAGTTTGAGGCATCCTTGGCTACATGGCAAGATCCTGAGTTAAAAAAAAGTGAAGTACAACTAACATATTCAGAATCAGTTAATGTGTTGAAAATATATCAGTTCATTATATTCCACAAAACTTTTTGAAATCAACTTTTCAATACTTAAAGGACTCTCTATTACTAAATAATTTTTAAATTACTTTAAATTGCAAATGTTGGGTAGCATCAATCAATATTTACTACTCCAACACTCTCTGGGAATAATAATAAAGATGGTAAGATTTTTTTCCATGGAATCTTAAGTCTAATTGGAAAACTAAAGAATAAAACATGCAAACCCACCATGCACAGTTTGGGATCATAAATATTTAAGTTCTGACTGATGCATTAGATAGAGACTTGGAGGAGTATGCAGACTTAATAGGGAGGAAATGGGCTGAGGATGTAGCTCAGTGGTAGAGTGCTGGCCAAACATGTGCAAGGACCTGGGGTTAATTCCCCAGCACTGTAAAAGAAGAAGAAACAGGAGAGAGGAAAAAAAGAAATACTCAATATGATGAGGGTAAACTTATTCAAGTTAGCAGAGAATTCCAGGCAAGATGAACATCAAAAAAGGATGCATGCATGCATGGTCTTGAGAGAATGAAGGCTGGCTTTATTGGAGCAGAATATGACTGAAGAGTAGCAAGAAATAAAATTGCTGAAATAGATAAATTAAAAGGACTTTGAAAGTCAAACTAATGAATTCAGATTTTATACAGCTAAAATAAGAAGCAATTGAAGGTTTTTCCAGTAATGTGATGAGAGTAATATTCAAGGAAGACTAGCCTGGGTACAGTGTGCAGCAGGAACTGGAAAGGGAATAGTCTGGTGGGCTATTCCCTTATGAGAGAGCACTTGTAACTGAGAAGGGCCTGGAATTGGATAGGACAAGAGGGATGCAAGAGAAACTTTTAAGACCTAAGATTGTCCTAAATTTTAAAGAAATTAGTTTTAAAAGAAAGGGAAGGAAAGGTCATAGGTGGAATACATATTTGAGCACATACTTACACACTGACATTTTTACTGTGACAAGCACTATGTCTAGGACACCAGAAAAATGTGAGTACTCTGACAAGGAGATTCCAGTGTTGGTGATAACAAGACAGATAAGAGGGATTGCAACAGGCAGAGAAAGGGCAGGAGCGCCCCTAAAATACCACCATTAATAGAGAGGAGATAGTAACAGAAAATTGCTTGAGTCAAAAGAAAGGGTGCTTTTTAAACAGCATATACTAGACTGCCCCACTGTCACTCACCTCCAGGAACAGTTCCCAGCAAGTTAGTTGGAGAGAACAAGAGGCCGGGAAATGAACAGATGAGTCAGAAAAGCGATGTCCAAACTGGGAATAGTGTAGTATTGCTAAAGTAAAAGAAAGTTCTTTTCCAAAGCATGGGTGATCAGTGCTATTAAATTGCAAATTAGAAGGCAAGAAATGTTAAGATGAAGAACAAGCTCGTTCCTTTGGATGGCAGCTGTTTTAATGAAATATTGGAAGAGAAGCCAGATCAGAGGGACTTCATGAAAGACTTGAGATAATAAGAATGTCAACTCAGGTTGAATTCTTTTCAAAAATGAGACCAAAATGTCCACAACAGCCCTAAACTGATGTTTAAGACTTAAAGAGCTTCTCTGGCTTTACTGAAAGATAATAAGCTTTAGAGAGAGTATGAGAAATCAATCCCAATTTTGCTGCCATACAAATATCTTAATCTCCCTGATTCCTTATCATTTTGTCTATTGTAAAAAGACTCACAGTACAGTACCTATCTTGAAGGCTGCTTTGAGAATAAAAATAATACATATTAGAGTATTTGGCATCGTGCCTAAAATAGTTGATTAGAAATTTATTTCCTTCTTTCCCCTTTGAGTATTTCCAAATAGGCATGGAGGCTCTAGAATTTCCTTTTCTCAAAATATTAGAAATAATTGATTTACATATCAGTTGTAAACTCAATTCATGTAGGATTCTTAGGTATAGTTCTGCTGGGAGGAAATTTGTTGAATATATTCTCAAGTCACATTTTTGTTGAGTGTGATTTGATAGTGTCATATAGGCACTTGTAATTGTCAGAATTTCTTAGACAGAAACAGCAATATCATAAACAAGGAGTTGTTTACTAGCGTCAAAACAAAATACCCTCTTTTTGTAAAAAAGAAATTTTATTCATATACACTCAGGGAAAACAGTTTCCCTCAATTTCCAACCTCTGGTAACTAACAGACCAAAAAAATAGCCCTTGAAACATGAAATTTTGAGGTATCTTCATTAGAGTAAGAAAGAGAGAAAAAAAAGAGAGAGAGGCAGACACAGAGAGAGAGAGAAAGAAAGAGCGAGAGAGAAAAAGAGAGAGAGACTTTGTGATAAATGGAACATTTAATCCCTTTTAGATTATAAAATCTAAGCTTTTTGTAGAAAAGCTTGTTTACTTGAACTCTACAGATAGATATGCAAACCAAATAATGCCAATAATTGCCAGTAACATCAATCTTATTATCTTCTTATTCATTGATAATCCTATCACTGCTGTTTCTGAAAGGGTTGGCTAGGGTAAGGAAGATAAAGCAGTACATAGTGAATTTTGTATTTCATTGAGTGATGTCTATTGAAATTGGCATCACAACCATTTCATGGAGTTATTTGGCAGCACTGTATCTGACACTGGAGACATGGGGTTAAAGGCACATCCCAAGGATTAAAAGCTCCCAAGTAGCTGTCAGTCAAGTGGGGGAGACTGGCATGTAGACAGATATGTTGTTATACAACATAGCAAAAGTGGTGATTATGCTTGCAATGTGGAAATGTAGGGCAGAAGATAATCTCACAGACTTCATTTGGGATTCAGGAAAGGCTTCCCAAATGGGCTCAGCAGGGTCTTACATCATAAGTGGAAGTTAGTTCCATTTGTGATCTTCTACAAGATTGAAAGGAGCATCACAAAAGTGTGGTTCCTTCAGGAGGCTGGCTACCAACAGTAAGGAGGAAAGGAGGGGGTGTGTGCTACATGATCTCTTACACATCTTCTTGAAACCAAACTCTTTATCAGTTCAGTCACCTTGTGGGGGGCAGCCATGATGTGACTGAGAGGAGTCAGCAGTAGACTCCTCATGGACTTTGTCTTCCAGGAAATGGGGAACTGTTGACAAGTGGTTCCTTCCCAGTGTTTCCCAGCATTTCCTCAGCCCAATCACTTGGCTTGTTCTTAGCCAACATTTTGTAACGCTTCCTTTTTCACCTGTGAGGTTTGGCTTCTACACACTAAATGCCAGCTAGAGCCCCCAAATTATTGTTATAATGCCTGTTACAAATTAAAAAAAAAACCACTATACTTGTGTGAAACACTCCTTAGGGGCTGTCATTGATCTCACTGAAAACCTTTGTCTTAACCCAGTGGTCAGCCTGCGGTCAGCCACTGCAGAAGGAGGGTCTCCATATGTGGGGAGAAGATCATCAGCCCATGGAGACAGTAGATTCCTATTGATATGAGGTCGTACTACTATACATTCACTCGTGCATTTAGTTATTCACTAAGAGAATGTTAATTTGAACCTACTTTATTCCAGATATTGCTCCAAATACTGAAAAAAAAGCATTACGATAAAAAATAACATTATTGTTTATATCTTGAACCCCCAAATGCCCATAAGTTGAAGGTATGTTCTCAGCTGCAGCACTATTAAGAGGTGGTGCCTAATGAAAGGAAGCTGAGCAATTAGGGATACAGCCAGTTCCTTTTTCTTGTGTCACTTCCCTGCTGCCATAAGTTGAGGCCTCCTCCACTATGAGCTCCTGCCATGATAAAAGCAGGCTAAAAGCAACAGGGCCAAGCAACCTTGAACTGAACTCTCTGAAACCAGGAATGAAAACAAACCTTTCCTCACTGGTTAAAGCAGGTGTTTTCTTGCAGCACCAGAAAGCTGACTAACAAAAATGCTATGACTATACCTGTACTTTCCAAGCTGGTTCTGACTATTGCAACTTTGTGCTATTCTTGAGAACCCTGGGACTAACATATGATTTTTTTTCCCCAGAAGGTTCTGAAATAGATCAGAGTTCAGCCCCACACCTGAAGAGTCACCCTATATTCTCTTTCCCATCCCAAATTATGCCCGGATATGTTGTCCTGCAGACTTTATCAGAAGTTCTGCAGTAAGATCAGAGAATTCACAAAGATACCTTAAAATGCAACTTAGAAATATTCCGAATGAGAATATAACAGTACTCTTGTTATTAATTCCCCTCAGAAATATTAAATGATAAAATCCTAAGGGAATTAATCTCCAGAATTGTTCATTTTGAAAAGAATTAAATTCCAAGTTCAAATGCATAAATTGCTTTTCTGCATTCAAAGTTTAGAAATTAGAATTAAAAAAGTTCTTTCCCATTTCTTTGACCACTCAAATTGTTATCTGGGTGAAGTACAGGATCTTGTATTCATACTCAGAGGCTGTCTTCTACTAAATTATCTGCTCAGTTCCTCTAGAATCTTAAGTACATTCTAATACTTCAGTTTTAACAGTTGAGAAAGCACAAAATTCTTCTTAGCACTTACCACATGTATGAGACACAGAACATAATTCAAGCTCCAGGTCTGCAGGATTTATGCCAGGAAGCATAGGCTCCCAGAAGCAGGAGCCCTGTGACACAATGCACAGCAGCCCTGCAAACACCCACTGTGGAGATTTCGCGTTGTCAAAGAATGGAAAGAGCAGATGGAAAGAGCAGATGGAGTAAATTTTACTTTGACCACACAGTATTCTGGGAGCCCACACTCCCAGAGGCCACTAGGTGTCTCTTGCAACTCAGGAGAGACCTTATTGTAACAGTGACTGACAAATGCAATGCCAGCATAGGACCAGGCATGTTTGTCATCTCCTTCTATCCAGCCCTGGCTTTTCCCTCATATTTTCCTTCAGATTTATCAGCTATCTATTTAAAGCCCTATTAGGATCTTAGAACTCTTGTGGAGTGAGATCAAAACTCCTTGGAACTTCACAGCCTTGTCCAACACATAGCCCCATTTCTCCTGTTCTGTCACCCAAACCAGGAATCTCATCAAACTTGTGTGCCATGCATTTCATCACTCCATGTCCTCCAAACTCATGTTCCAACTGCATGGGATACCCTTGCTCTTTTTGTAGACCTGGAAGGTCCCTACTTACTTTGAAGGACCAGTTCAAATGTCTGCATGAAGTTTCCCTGACTCTCAACACACTTCTACTCTTTTATTGTAGCACTTATTTTTTCCTACTTTTATTTACTTTTTCTTTTTCTTCATTTTTCTGTTTTTTGTATTTTCCCCTATTTTATATATTACTCACACCCCAATATGTATATATTTGTCTGTGTATGTGTGCTTATAGATATGTATCTATATAGAGATTTCCAATAGATACATAAACACACAATATACATATATTTAATTTATTGACATTTCTTCTCATTGGTCTATGAGCCCCTTGAAAGTATAGAGAGTGTTTTATGTTTCTCTGTATACATAGGACCTGGCACAGGAGCCTGGCGTATAATACACGGAATAAAAATGCTAAGAAGATTGTGATCATAAAGATAGCAATGATTATAATGAAACCTTGACCTACTTATTGGAAATAGTCACATAACCTCAAACTTGGCAAACATACTCTTCTGTAAAATGAAAGGGTTAGAATTTTCTGGCTCCGAATTAACTGAAATTATGTTGATGTAAGAGAGACAGTGCCATCTAGTGGTAAATGTATTTTACTTTTAATTTTGATATGTCTAGCCACTTTACAGAATTCTAGCGTTTTAAAATAGTGTACTGACATAGCTGTTCTGAGGTCTCTGACTCACTATACTGCTGTTATGAATTCAATACTTGGAACTTCAGAAACTTCATCTTAGAAATACAATGAATACTTCTTGAAAAAAATAACTTTCCCAGTAGGGCATTTGAAGGAAACTCAACCCCCCAACTATTTTCTAGTATGTTTGCAGAAGGCTGCAGAGCTGGAAATAGTTCTGGGTGTTGGAGACACTGCAGTGAATAATCCAAAGCCCTTCTTTCCCCACCCATGGGACTTACAATTTTGCTGAGAGGGAAACTAGAAAAATCAAATAAGGATAGATAAGATGCATTTAATTTTACTAAAATGAAAATAAATAAAACAAGATGAACTTGGAGGAGGGCAATATTGGGTGTGGTTGCCTCTCTGAGGAGTTAACATTCGAGTCAAGGTCTCATGGCAAGGAGATGTCAGTCATTCAAGAGCTAAAGAAAGACCTTTGCCAGCAAGTGCAGAGGACCTGGGCAAGGATCCTCCTGTGGAGAAGGACTGCAGAGAGGAGGTGCAGGCCAATCAGGTGGGGCTTGCAGACCAAGGTAAAGAGTGGGGATTTTATGCTGGGTGCAAGATGAGACCATTGGAGCATTTTAGGGAGAACGGGAGAACACTCTGGTTTAAGTTCACAGACACTTTGGCAATTTGGTATCGAATACAGTAGATGCTCTGTGGAATTAGATCTGTGAAGAGCATGTTACACAGGCAAAGGAGAAAGATGGTGGTGGCAGTGATGGACATGGGATCCTCTGAGTCATTTATTGAGGTAAAGAGACTTGGGTGAATGGTTTGGGGAGGAGTGGTAAATGTGTCCCTCAAACTCATGTGTTAGAGACAGAATCCTCAGATTCATATGTTGATATTTGGGGGTGGGGTCTTAGGGAAGTGGTTAGAGTTAGGTAAAGAGAGTAGGTTGAGGGAAGGAGAGGAAGAGAGACCTGAGCTGTGATCCACCTCTCTCACCATGCGAGGCCTCTCACCATGTCACGAAGCAGCAGGAAGACCCTCACCACACGCAACCTCTTAATTCTGGAGACTTCGCAGCCTCCAGAACTAAGAGAAATAAATTTCTCTTGTTTATAAATTACCAGTCTGTGGTATTTTGACACAGTAACACAAGCTAAGACAGGAGAGTGGTGGGAGAGAAGAATCAAACACTTATTCACTTACTATGTGTTTGTGGTGCACTTTTTTTTAGGTAACAGACACTTTTTAAATCTGGGGATGTAGCAGTGAACAGAACAGACAGAAATCTGTGCTCCTATGGAATTTGCATTCTTTTTAGGGAGGAAGTCTATAAAACAAACAAGTTAAATAGTAGTATGTAGAAGGTTATACTTTCCCTGAAGAAAAATTAGGCAAGAAAGGAAACAGGAAATGTTGGGAGAGTTTAACTTAAGTAGTGGGTGATATCTGAGTAAGTAGTGGTGACATCTGAGTAAGAAGTGGGTGATACCCGAAGGAATGTCAGAGAACTAAATATATGGATACAAGAGAAGAAAATCCAGGCAAACAACACAGCAAATCCAACCACTATGAAGCCTGACTGTGCCTGGGTTTCTCCAGAGACTGAGTGAACAAGGAGACAGCAGGAAATGAGATCAGAAAGGCCAGGGGTGGGGAGGAGAGCAGATTCTATTTGGTCTTGAAGGCTATTGTCACAGCCTTGGCTTCTGTATTGACAGGATGGGAAGCAGTTAGGCAGATCCTGGTCCTGACTTTATTTTCATAGAACCCTCTCTAGATGACATTTGGAGAACAGTCTTAAAATAGGGACAAGAGCAGAATCAAATCAGGAAGGTCCAAAGAGAGTCTTCAATGATAAACCAGGCAAAGGTAAAAAACTTGGGTCTGATGACTCCAATGTCACCTTATTTTTTAAATCACATATTACTTCCCCAAAAAGATAAGTTAGGCATCATACCAAGTTTGTTTGGTTTTTAAAATTTTATTTATTTATTTATTTATTTATTATTTATATGTGCATACAATGCTTGGGTCATTTCTCCCCCCTAACCCCACCCCCTCCCTTACCACCCACCCCATCCCCTCCCTCTCCCCCCCACCCCCTCCCTCTCCCCCCCACCCCCTCAATACCCAGCAGAAACTATTTTGCCCTTATTTCTAATTTTGTTGTAGAGAGAGTATAAGCAATAATAGGAAGGAACAAGGATTTTTGCTGGTTGAGATAAGGATAGCTACACAGGGAGTTGATTCACATTAATTTCCTGTGCATGTGTGTTACCTTCTAGGTTAATTCTTCTTGATCTAACCTTTTCTCTAGTCATACCAGGTTTTAACTAAAAGTCATTATAATATTATTGATCCAATCCCAATTCTGTTCCTAAGGCCAGGTGTGGTGGTACATACCTGTAATGGCAGCACTCAGGAGTTGGAGGCAAGAGGATCTTAAGTTTCAGGCCAGTCTGGGCTACATTGCAAGAACCTGTCTCAAACAAAGCAAAGCAAAGCAAAACAAATAAACATATAAGAACACTAACATAAAGATGTTTAATCATGACCTATGGTGACTTCACATCCAGTTTAATATAAAATATGCATCTCCTCTGTGAATAGTGGAGAACCAACAAATGACTTCTTTTCAGATATTTGATGGGAGGAGTGAATATGCTGACTTGGCTGGAACATTTTGTGATTCCACTGTACCTGCTCCTTTTATCTCTTCTGGTAACTCCCTGACAGTTCAATTCATCAGTGACCTGACTTTAGAAAGAGAAGGATTTAATGTTACATATACCTTTGTGGACAGTGAGTATACTGAGATTTTAAAATATTATAAAATACATGCATATTTATGCACTGGAATGAATGTCATGCTTATTATATATAAACTCAATGTTAATTACTAAACTTAATGACTATCTTAGTTGATTACTAAATGGGTTATTTACTATGTTTAATCTGCGGTACAAATTTGGTACAATCTTTAGTCAAAGATGTCTGTCCTGTAGTCCTTAATAGAATGAGGTAAGTATACCTCCGCTGGGCCGGGAGAGTTGGGAAAGCAGACTTTTAAAGACTGGGTATGCAATGAGACATGAGCAAAATATCTCCATTGTTTCTTTCTTCCCTCCTTAGTGCCTTGTGGTGGAACTTACAATGCAATGCGGACCCCACAAAATATCTCATCACCCCATTTGTCAAACCCCAGCCTCCCATTTTCTACTTGTACTTGGGTCATTGAGGCACCACTCCATCATCAGGTCAAGATAAGTGTGTGGGCATTACAGCTGCACTCGCAAGACTGTGCACAGAACTACTTAGAGTTTCAGGACTCACCAGAGGTAACAGCTGTTGTATCTAGTGACCTTTTCACTAGCATTTACAAAATTTGAGGGAATGACTAAATAAATTCTCAGAGTTACTTGTGCTTTTCAATAGATACAAAACCCTGTATTCAGGTGTATTGAGAAACTTGAACTTGACCCTGTAGGGCAGGAGCTTTCAAGCTTTCATGTATCTAAGGATCATCCAGATGGATTTTAAAAGTGCATACCCCTGAGGCCCACAGTTAGAAACTGAGTCTCCAAAATAGCACCACTTAATCTGAATTCTTGATGAGCATCTCTGGTGTTCTGTTACCAATGCCAGAGATCCCTGAGCCATGCTTGGAGAAACACGTCTGTGGTTGCAAGCCTGTGTTTAGGATGAATTGAATTGGCAGAAAATCAGTCAAGAGACCATTTGGCATCAGTCCAGTGGGACTATATTCAAGTTGATATAAGAGAGAAAAAAGGAGAAAGTGATGTTTTGATTAAAAAGGTGGGGGGAGAGACTGTCTTTATTTCCCATAGGATAAGATGTTAAGAAGACATTTGGGACATAAAGGTGTGATGTTAGAAGACACAAATATTTAGGGATCATCATCATGTGGATAGGTAGTTGCAATAATGAGAGTAGTGAGATTAACCAGGGGGAATATGGAAAGTGAGAACTCATGGAGTGATGGATACCTGGTAGAGAGTCTGGGAATATCTGGGATTACCATGATAAGTGGCGATGAGCATCACTGGTATTAAGAAGTTCAAAGTGAGGATGTTTAATGGACTATCTGTAAAAACACTCCAAACATCCAGGTTTCAGAAAAGAACTGGGGTGCAGAAAACTAGTCAAAGCTAAAACACCCCAAGTGTTTAATAAATGAAGAGAAAATAACCAGGAGGAAAGTAGGTAAAAAATGATGAGAAAGGTCAGAGTGTCTTTTTGGCCACCTGTAGATTATTTCTACATGTGGATGGGTTCAAAAGATGGATGCTGGAGTGAGGAACATGAACAAACCCTCCACACTACTGTCCATCATTTGTACTGAATGAAATGTTGAGAGTAGTGAAAGAATGGCCACTGGAGACCCAGGTTTCACTTAAGACCACAAAATGGAAAGGCTAGGGATGTGAACAGGGGGTTAACAATGCAGCTGAAGTTCGAAGGACACATCAGACAGAATTAAGAAAGGACCAAGAGTAGGAGCTAGTGGGATCAGGTAAGTGTAGAAGTACAGCTCAATAACAGGAGTCTGCAAGAAGAGGTGGAGCACAGGCCTTCAGAAAGTACCCAAGAACTATAGGTGTTAGAGACAAATGTGCAATTGGAGGCTGTCAATGTCCTGAGATTCATATAAGTTGGTATTGTGCAGGAATTGGTGGGCATCTGACTGCATTTACCATTGAGAGGGGATGAGGGCTGCCCTGTGTTAGGGGGAGCAGGGACTTCATGATGAGCACCAGTTGCCTTCTTGGCTTTCACAATTTTGGTTACGTTTGCTAAAGGATAGTGAGTGCTGGACTAGGGGAATAACCTTGGGTTAGTCTTATGGAGCTCAGGACTGTGGAAAAAGCTGGGGCAGGAGACTTGCAGTGAGCTCACACAGCCTGGCTCTGCTCAGAACAAGGACCCAGGCCTTAGCAATAACATGGCAAGAGAGGGACTAGTCTTGTTTTCTCCAGGGAACTGGCCATTCATGCTTTCAGTGGAAACTTTGTTACCCATCTTTTACCTCTCTTGAACATTGGTCAATTCCAAGGCCAAAGATGAATCTTATGGCAGAATACTTCCAGTATTAGAGCTACTTTCCATGACTGAATATATTTATGTCACCCTTTTATGTGGGATTTACTTTGGTATGGGTGTTTTCTTCTGAAACTAAATCTCATGCAATTTGACTTCCATTTCATTTCAGAGTAATGGAAACTCAAGACTTCAGTTCTGTGGCACAAATGTTTCAGCAGTGCCAGTGTTTTATTCTTCAATGAGCACTGTAATTGTTGTTTTCAAAGCTGAAGTTTTAAACAGAAACTCTGAAGTGAGTTTTGCCTATCAGATTGCAGGTGAGTCCTGGAAGGTCGTCTTTATTCCAGAAAATCTGCCATGATTACAGTTAATGTAGGAGTGACTGCTCTGAGTACGCTGGGGTCTGTTAGGGTAACCCACACCTATATGAGTGGAGACTCTTAACTAGAACCTGCCCAACTCAGCCAATTACAAAAGTCAGTTCCTGAAGAGGTGATGTGAATATAAATGTAATGCAACTAATTTAAAATATACTGGCTGTTTTATTAATTATTCACTTGGCCATATACTGGAATCACCATACATGTTTATGAAAACTTTATTGAGAATATAATTTCAATATCATACAATGTGCCTATTTAAATTTGACAGACAGTTCAGTGATTTTTAGATATTCACAAAGTTGGGAATCACTCTGCCTTAGGACACTGTTTTGTAGAAACCACAGGGCCTTTTGAAAATGTTGATTACTGAAACTGAGAAGTTTGTTTCCAGAGAACACTTTGGTTAATGTTTATTTTGAACTTCATTAAAACTAAAGCTGCCTTTGAATCAAGCAAACAAAACTACTTTAGATATTTTTTCACCAAAAACTGGTAAAGAATAATGATTCTTCAGTTCTAGGAACAGATAATTCACCACAGGATTTAAGTCCTTGTGCAAATCTGTGATTGGGAGGTAAGAGTGTTTGTGTCTATAAAAGGTCTAAAACAGCCACACATACCTCCAAGTGATCAGGAAGGTTCAAGGTTGCTTGAGTGTTTCTCTTCAGAGGAATGGCTCCTATTTCCTTCTACCCTGGGGATGTTTGGTGCTAACAAGCCATTGTACTGTGCTTGCACAAGGTACAGTTCTTTTCATCTCTCAAATCTCCCTTATCTCAAAGGTAAATGAAGAGACTGAATTCACTTTTCCTAGTTTGTTCAAATTTAATGGACTTCAAACATTATCCATGTCAAGTTGAAAGAGTACTAAATGATTGGATGCATGTATTAACTATGAATATTTTTCTCTAAGATTGCAACAGACAATATAACGAGTCATTTGGGAATCTGAAGAGTCCAGGATGGCCGGATAACTATAATAATGACCTGGATTGTACTGTTGTCCTCACAGCCCCACCCAGCCACTCCATTTCCCTCTTTTTTCATTCCTTTGCCTTAGAAGACTCAAGTGACTGCTCACATGATTTCTTGGAGGTAACATGCATTTGAATATCATTTCAATGTATTATTTAGAAAGATGATGGATCACATAGAATTTTTCACCATTTTCTCTAGTGTTGTTAATTTATGCATTATTCCTCCATTCCATAAACATTTATCAAGCACAGTTTAGTCCAGACACTGGAAGTACAATTGGGAACAAGATATATTCGAGGCCTTCAGGAGGCTCACAGTTTAGTAAGAAAGACAGAGTTGTGTCCTGGAGGATGGCCTCTGCATATGGGTTCAACTTCCACGTGATTCCTTATGCAGAGTTTTATCATCCTGGAAAGCTCTCCTCTGTGGAATTAATCCTAGTCCTTTGTTAATCAATATCTTTAACACATACTACAACAAATTCCATAGGAAGCTCAAAGTGTTTTCATGAGCAATACTGGCCATGACAGGAAACAGGAAGCAGGTATAGGTAGCAGGAGGAAATAAAGAGGTTACAGTGTTGTTTGTCCCTGTCCAGGTATTAAGTCCAAACTTATATGTTTACCCACCATGAAAATCCAAATATTTATATGAAATGTAGAGCAGAAGTAGGAGAGGACTGGAGTGTGGAGAAAAGATAAATAATCCTGTTAGGTCAGTGTCACAGTACTCTAATTCACTTCCAGCCTTCTTCTGAGGATTCTGACTACCTTGCTAGCAGCAAGGGGCGGGCTCTAGACCACATTTGAAGTCTGCATGTGTCTTTGGTGCCTTCAGCTTCTCCTTTCAGTGTGCTCTAATGTCCCAGAGATGCCTCTACGCTCAGTTGTCCCATTCTATGTACCATTTCTATGAAGAGAAAAGTGACTATGACAAGCTGTTAGCAATGTCAGTGGGAATTAATGTCTTGCTCCTTTCTTTCGCAGAGGGAAAGAGACCCAAAGCCAAGTTGGGCCATCCAGCATTCATAAATATGATGGCTGTTCTATCTACTGGTAGATAATTGGCTGCTCTGTCTAGGCCAGGGCCACTTTGCTTATTCATTTAACAGAATAACCCACCAACAAATACCAGAACGGCGCTGTTCTCTCCTATTGACTGCTACAGAGGCCTGGAAGGATTCTCTCCAGCTCAGCACAACCCAGTCCAGCAAGACAAGCATTGCCCCTCTGGAGCAGCTCTGTGACAACCATCAGTTAGCCAAAACGTAAACTGAGGAATTATAAAGGCAATGGAGGATCATCTCAGATATTGAATTCATAAATCAGTGAAATTAGCACTTATCCATATCGAGCTAGTCTCAAGTACACATTGCCTGGAAAACATTCCTGAAGGAGCCGCAAGTGCTCTTCTGAGTAGGGCTAGTTGAGAATGCACAGTAGGAACCAGGCTGGAGGACAGAACTTGAATTCCTACTGACTCACTTCCTGTTTTTATATGGGACCCAAAAAACCTTGAGCTGAAAAGAAAGAACTAACAACAGCCAGAACTTTTTTTTTAAGATTTGTTGAGTTGTTTCTTTTTTCTATATAGAAACTCCCTTTGTTTTGAGTTGTTTCTTTTTTCTATATAGAAACTCCCTTTGTTTTGAACTTTATTATATTTTGTACATTGTACTTTTCTCACAGGTAATTGACACTTTTCATTGGGACACACATATACACACACTCAGAGAAAGAGAGAGAGAGAGAGAGAGAGAACAATGAATAAAGTACAGTGACTGTAAGCAGACCAGGTTTACATGTGCCTTGGTGTTTGAATTACTATAGGTTAACAGATACTTCCAAATCCAAATGTAAATGGTCTTTGATCCCTTTGCATGTATTTTTGTAAAACCCTTCATAAAATGCAAAGCTTTAATAAAAGTCATTCCAGTTGTTTCACATGTTAATGTGCAGCAATGGTAAATTAGAGAAGGAGGTATAACATGAGTGGAATAATTAATGACTCATTTTTGTAGGTAAGAAATGGAAGTGACAGCAGCTCACCACTGCTTGGCAAGTATTGTGGGACTTTGCTGCCAAATCCTATTTTCTCTCAAAATAATGAACTACACCTGCAATTTAAAAGCAACAGTGCCATTTCTAATCATGGATATGAAATCGTCTGGACCTCATCGCCCTCTGGTAAGACATTTGCACTTTGTAAGGGGAAGTGGTATAGGTAAGATAAGCATAAGGTATCCAATAGAAAATACAATTACAGCGACTTTATTGTTTTAGGTGTGTGTAGTTTTCTGATAATAGTAGAGATTTGTAACAATGAAAGTATTGTCTTAAAGATTCTATATTTATTCATTTTTTCTGTGTACATAAAAGAATATATACATATACATATAAAGCACTTATATGATCTACAAAACTATAAATTCTGTTTGGTCAGACTTTTGACTTTTGGTTTGATCAACAAATAGTTCTCTGAGAATTTAATGAAAAAAAAAAAACAGAAAGCCCAATTAGCAAATCAGCATGTACATATGAGCAGCTGTGCACCTTTTAGTTTCTGTCATTTCTCTGCACACCTGAATGTTGCTTTCTCGGGGTAGTCAGTACTTTTTTCCATTTTTGTTGACTTTATAAAAATAGCCAAAGGAAACTTATGTCACCTCAACATGATAAATCAAGAGAGCAGGAAAACTTTTATGAAATGTCCCCAAATGCCTGAAATCCTGCAAAATAAAAATGATAAAAGAGCAATTTTACTCTCCCCTACAGCTACTTCATCACGCTCTTTGTGTTTCCATTCTTTCCCAGCCCACAAATTGCAAAGAACAGTCCTAGAGGAAGTTGCCTCTTGGCCATGACATACAGGGAAAGGAATATGCTGAGGAGCTGGGGGAGGTGGTGGTGGCTATCAGAGGCAGCCCAGAGAAGGAACAAGAAGAAGGGTTTCTGCCTCTGCTGTTCTTGCAAAGTTTCAGCCACTTAAGAAAATAGAAGCAGTCTCATTGCCTTCTATATTGCAAAAGCAGACTGGATGCTTTATATTTTGCCAATGGAGCCTCTGGTCATTCTCCCCTTGCAGGCTGCGGTGGGACTCTTTATGGGGACAGTGGCTCATTCACCAGCCCTGGCTATCCTGACACCTACCCAAACAACACTCACTGCGAATGGGTCATCACAGCTCCTGCTGGAAGGATTGTCACCGTCAGCTTTTTCTTTATTAGCATCGACGATCCTGGAACCTGTATCCACAACTACCTCATACTCTATAATGGACCAGACGCCAACTCTCCCCCTTTTGGGCCATACTGCGGAGGAGTGAGTACCAATGTTTTCAGATTCCTACTTATTAAACAATGAAGGTAACTTAGCTGGTCATGTGCAAAGTACAAAACACAAAGCAAATTCAGTACTGGTTTTCTCAGTTTCTATTTGGGGAACATGAGAGCCACCTGGTGGACACAGTTATTAAATAACTACTAATCGTCAAAACAGACTGCCTTGGAATCACCCATGGAATTACTTGGCATAACAAACGTCCATTTGCCAGCCAAGCCTACCAATCCACAATGTCTGGGGAGGAGTCGAGGCAGGTTATTTTTTTAAACCCTTCCTATTTGATCTCATCACATCTTCCTGGGTTGAATACTCATGTTTGTTTCTAGATATATAGAACTATAGAAAATTGGGATACATGGCTGGCTGCATTTCATTGACTTCTTTTTAAAAAACCTTTGAGAAATGGTGACTAATAGTGTGATTGTTTTTGAAAAGTTCCGATGTAATAGGTCCTCCCTAAACATTGAGTACAAATCTGACATTGATGCAATATTGTGGGTACCTGCCCTTACTGCCCTCTCACTTTCTTAGAGCTGTCAAGTGAATGTGACTGTAGTGAGGGGGGATTTGTTTCTAATTGTTTTGTTTTTTGCTCACATGGCTTTTTGGTCAAATTGGACAATTATATCAGTGGAAATCTAGAGAATTTTAAACATATAACTTATTTCTAAGATTTGATAATGAAATTTTCAGAAGCATCAGAAAACAGATTATTTTTAAAACCTTGAGAATTCCCCTACATTTCCTCCTAGCACCTGTCTTAAGTCACATTTTATATTGTTTGCTAGTGTTTCTTTTCCTTCCAACATGTCTGTTACTAACATCTTATCGTATCAATAAAAACACATATTTTTGCTGTACTGGATTTGATCATTGATGGTATCCCATTGCATGGATACATCTAAAATTATTTAACAAATCCCCTCTGTTTAAAAGTTTAGTTCTCAGGGATAGAGGTGTGGCTCAAGTGGTAGAGGCCCTGAGTTCAACCCCAGTACCACAAAAAAGTGACTCCACTTGTCACTACTACAGAGAGCACATCAATAAATGCTTTGGTAACTGTGTCTCTATGTACAGAAGGAATTACTTGGGAAAAATTTTGATCATGGAACTAGTAAGTACACTGTCACTGCTATGCACTGAAGCCCAGAAGAGGTACCATACAGCAGATTTAGAAGCTATGACTAGGTCTCAGATATGTCACTGAAATATACAAATCCCTCAAAAGGGAGGAAAAGAGATAATTTTAACAATACAATCACCTTACATTTGTATGGTGTGGTGTGCGTGTGTGTATTTTAAACATTCAATCCTACTGGATCCTAGCAGTGATATCTTGTGAGGTAGAAAGAGCAAATCTATCCTGGGTTTTGCAGATAAAGGAAACTGAGACACTGAGAGGGAACTCAATGTCACATTAAATCAAAGTATATAACTAGGCGTGTCAGTTTTTTTAAACTGTTAGTATTCATAGTATTTTTCCCACTTTACATTCTCTTATAGAAGTGTGGATACAATTTTATGTGTAATATTTTTCTTTCTTAAATGAAAGGTACCACTAATTTCCTTAACAAGTCATAAATGTTTTATATAAAGCATGAGTTTTTATAAATGAAAGATATAAAACATTAATATAAAACAAAGTCAGTTTATATGGAGCGGTAGTGGAAGTAGCCACTAACATTGTTGATGTAGATAAAAGCCACACAAGAATTTGAAGATGTTTCATGTTACAATACAATGAATGTCATTGGTTATGGGGGAATTCTGCATCACTTTAACTTCAGAATCTGAAAGATTCTGAAAGTGTAGTAAGTGAAAGACTTATAAGACATTTTCATTACACCAAGGAGAAAGCCTGTAGCCATGCCTCCTCAATCTTCCACCCCTAGAAAATATTCTTTTGTAAAGAATCTACATTAATTCTTGGCACAGTTACTTCCAGAAATATATGCAGGTTCACTTTAAATTCTATAAAGCTTCATTATATAGTACCTAAAGAAAAAAAACTAGGCTAACATTTTTAGGAGAACGTTCACAGTTTTGGAAAATGTAACTTGCTATTTCTTTTCAATTACAGGACACTAGCATAGCTCCCTTTGTGGCTTCCTCAAATCAGGTCTTCATAAAATTTCATGCCGAGTACGCAGTCCGCCCATCCGCATTCCAGTTAAGGTGGCACAGCTAAGAAGGAAAAGCCATGAGTCGACTGGGCACATTGGCTCCATTGTGGGGCCATCAGACATCACACTGGACAGAACTCAGCTACCCTTATCCTGGACCCCTGCCTGTGCCACTCAGCACAAGCTGGCTTTCTTGGTTTTCACTGAGTGTATGGAATCAGTATTTGTGCATTTATTTTTTTGAATGCAGAGTGTAATTTCTTTAGTCTTGGCTGTATATACCATTCTTGCCTTTAATGTTTTGAGCTGAAAAAAATTAAAAAGACTTTTTAAAGATTATGGCATATCTGATTATTTAAAATTAACAATATACTAGATGTATTGTTTTCACTGTGAATGGCAAACCAAGAGGGATAAGCATTCTTGAGTTGTGTGCAATTGTTTGGCATTTATTTTTAACTCATTAAGGTAGTCTCTCACGTTGGCTTGCTATAGCAAAGTTTGCTGTGAGCTCTGAATTCTTTTACTTTCTCTCCCATTTGCTGCTCAAACTCCTTTTTCCTGGGCATATTGAGCCTCTTCCCATTCGCTCTCCGTCAGCTGTGATGTCCTGGGCACTGAATCTCTCTACACATTCTTCACCCCTACTACTTCCTGCTCCATACTCCTAGAGTAGTACCATTCTCTTCCTTCCTTCCTTCCTTCCTTCCTTCCTTCCTTCCTTCCTTCCTTCCTTCCTTCCTTCCTTTCTTTTTTTTTCTTTTTGTGCTGGGCCTTTTCCTCCACATTTATGAATACCAAGTATGCTTTATTTTTCTTTAAAATATCTATGGTTCATAGTTCAGCTCAAAGTTATATCACCTGCATGTAGCTCCCCAAATCCCATCAATAGGAATTTCTTCCCCCTTTTTGGTGTTTTGATAGCAATTTTTGCAACCCAATAAAATATCTGTCACATTATTTGTATGTGTGTGTGTATGTCTGGGTGTGGTGCTGGAGGTTGAACCCAGGCCTGCATATGGTAAATATGTACTTAACCACTGAGCTACACCCCCCAGCCCACATGTTTTTCTTAATCACATTTAGTTATGTACATTTAATCTCCCCTTGTTAGATTGTGTGTTCTTTGGAGACATGGTTCTTGAGTGTCCCCACAATTGTTGAACATTGAATGGATTAATAAACTGCCTGATAAACTGTCACTGCCATCCTGCTCTGCCACTTCTACTGTTGTGGAATATAGACAGATCATGAGGAGGATGGGTTAATGATGATGGGAAGACTGTGAAATAGCCCAGTAACCATCTAGAAGATGGTTTGTAGCTGCAGACGGATGGGATTAAGTTGTGCTTTCTGGAGCAGTAAACAGACACCAACAAAGAAGACTGATGGAGGAGAAGAAGACATCAGTGCTAAGCAGTGGCCTACAGAGATCCTGAAGTCCCCAGAGACCCATTTGTTTTAAAATAAGTTGTTAGGCTAGATGAGCAAGCATGTGTATCACTGGAGCCCCCATCCCCAGCAATGCATTTCTTATATTAATTTTTTTAAAAGAAATAAGCCTCAATCTCCATTGCAATGCAACTCTACCACTTTAAATTTTCCTTTTTTCTCTGTGTTAATACATATTACTATTCCCACCACTGGAATGTTATTGCATGAAATATTATATTCTGCATATCATGTTTATTAAAAGTTTTGCATGTTTCTAGCATTCTCAATTATATTTTTATATACTATAGTATATCAGGTCCTTTGCCATACATGCATTTTATTTAACAGCTTCCTCTTTTCATATATCTCAACCATTTTTTGGACTGTACTGGGGTTTGAACATAGGGCTTTGCACTTGCTATGCTGGTACTCTACCTCTTGAGACACAATTCCAGCCCTCTTTTCAAATATTTTTGTTTGCACACTATTACTGTAACAGATAACATTCAGTGATTACTTTTTATTTGGTTTAAAATCTTTTTATATTTAAATAGATTCACAAGAAGTTGAAAAGATACCACAGAGAGTTCTAGTATCCCTATTATCCATTCTCCCCTAACTTTCCATAATATTTGTGAATTATTCCCTAAAGGCAAATTTCCAAGAAAGGAGGAAAATCTTTTTTACCCATTGGTTTGTATCACTAAATTGGTAACTAACAGAATCAGAAAATTTACATTTTTACTACCAATAAAATTCGGCTACTTTTAGAAAAATCTTCAAGTGGAAACAAGTAGTTATTTTAATTAATTCATCTTGAAGGAAATTCCCAAGTGTCTGAATTTGATAAAACCTCTAGAAATAAGGTGAGATTATTATTTAAATCATAGATATGGAGGAGAAATTCTGTCAACTTAATGCATTTGGAGAATCAAATTCCCAAAGAAGTGATACATTAAGGAAGGTAATGTTCCAGTCCTGAAACATAGTTCTGCATATTTTTGTTCAGGTTAAATAACCACATAGAACATTTACTATAGAGGCTTACATTTGCTATCAAGTATAAAGAAAGGACAGTTCCACTGAATACAGAATTGCATGCACCAACTTGTCCCTTAGTCTAGGGGTAACATTTCTCAGTCATAGTGAGGCATTTCAGTGTTGAAATTGCTTACACAAATAAGGAAAAAAATATATGTGCTTGTCCTTCAGAGCAATAACTTCTGTAAAGCACCACCTCTACCTTTTCCTAGTTTTGCACTACAATATGCCAAGTTAAGTAATATTGGCTCTTACTTAACAAGAAGTAGAAAGTTTAACAAACATGTCCTTAAGGGCAAACACAACAAGGGGATTGGACTTTGATCATATGATAAATCGAGAACACACAAGGAAGGTATGAGGATAGGTAAAACACCCAAAAAACTAGCTGGCATTTGTTGCCCTCAACGCAGAGAAACTAAAGCAGATACTTTAAAGCAACTGAGGCCAAGAGGAGAAGGGGACCAGAAACTAGAGAAAAGGTGAGATCAAAAAGAATTAACCTAGAAGGTAACACACATACACAGGAAATTAATGTGAGTCAACTCCCTGTATAGCTATCCTTATCTCAACTAGCAAAAACCCTTGGTCCTTCCTATTATTGCTTATACTCTCTCTTCAACAAAACTAGAGATAAAGGTAAAATAGTTTCTGCCTGGTAGCGAGGGGTTGGGGGGTAAGGGAGGGAGTGGGATGGAGGAAGGGAGGGAGTGGGATGGGGGGAAGGGAGGGGGCGGGGGGAAGGGGGGATAAATGACCCAAACATTGTATGCACATATGAATATAATAAAAAAGGAAAAAACAAAACAAAACAAAACATGTTCTTGCCTCCTAGGTTGCCAGATAAATAATTGAGATAGTTACTAGCTTCTTTTTTTTTGATCAAGAAAACCTAATGTTCTACAGAGTTTTCTACTACCTCCAACAGAACAGAAGACTTAAAAAGTGAAAGTCTTATTGAGAATAAAACACACACTAAATGAAATAAGCTGTGGAATGTATCACTCTCTCATACTCTATACCCAAATACTGAAGAAATTATTTCTGCACAGAGTAAAAGAGTGCAGTAAAATATTCTCACTTTAAACAAATCCTGCTTCCATTAACAATGTACTATGGCTAGATATGTCAACTGTATGGATGGCACTGCATTGGAAAAAATGGTGAACACATTGAAAAACATCCAACCCAAAGGGTCTTGACAAGCTGGAATAACTGGCTATTGTAACAAGATGAAATTTGACAAGGGTGAATGTATGCTCTTGCTTTCTTACCCAAAAATGAATTGTAAAGGTGCAGACTATGGAGAAAGTTTAACAACATGAAATGACATGGGAATTTTGCTGAAAGCAAGATTAATATGATACAGCTCTCAAAAACAGAGATGACTACTCAGTAATACCAGGCCAGCCCAGACAAATATGAAAGTTCAAAAAACCTCATTTCAGTAGAAAAAGCATTGTGTGGTAGTGCACACCTGTCATTCTAGTTATGGTGGGAAGCCTGAATAGGAGGTCATGGGTGCAGGCCAGCCCAGGCAGAAAGCAACACTCTATCTCAAAAAACCATAGCAAAACTGAAGGCATGACCCAAGTGATAGAGTGCCTGTTTTGCAAGTTCAAACCTCAGTACCGCCAAAACCAAAAACACCCCCAAAACAGAGGATGGCTTGATTTTATTAGAACAATGGTATTGAGTTATTTTCACTTGGATGGGCATGCTTCTCTAGGAGGTGTGCTAGTGTATCCAGGAGATGAGTATGTGAAGTTGAAGAAAGCATATTCAATGTTATCATGCAATTTACAGTTGAAAACTTAATACAAACAGGCAAAAATAAAACTCTCCAAAATCTTCCAGGCTTGCTAGCAATGATACAGGAAGTGATTTTTAGTGGGTCAGGGGATAGTCATGTTTATACATTTTCATGTGTAGCAAAAGGGAAGTGGGCTTAATAAGTTCTCAAGAAATTCATCTGGAAGAAGGAAAAAGGATCCTGGCTCTACTTTCAACATAAGATACATCTCATAGCCTCTGGCTCTGCATTGCAGCTTATTGAGCATATACTATGTGGTATGTACTCAGGAGAAAATGGACAATGAGACAGCCATACATCCCCACCAAGTCCCTGCTTCACAATGTACACGTCCCAGTTCCATTTTGCCTGGTTTTCTGAGCCAATATAAAAGCACAATCCTCACTTTCCTTATCCAGTGAAACTTATATTAATCTCTCTCTCTCAGTGGCCAAGTAATAACTTTCCTTCTTCCAAATTGCATCATCATGAAGTTCCATTATTACCCATCAAGGCCCTGGGACAGGTTAACATTGTTGCTTTCAGTCCATAAGTAGAATCCAAAAAGGCCACACTGTAAAGTTAGTAAGTTTTTGAGGGTGGACCAGGAGGAGATGCTGTTCAGGAGATAACTTGTAGTATTGTCCATAGATCTGAGGGAAGCCAAAAAAAGCACAAATGTGAAGAAAAAGAAATGTCAACAACTAATGATCTACTAAACTCAGAAAGTGCTAAAGTCATGTATAAACCCACTCACTTTAGGGGAGATTGGGAACTTTAGACAGCCTGTTAGAGAAGAGGCAGGTTAAGGGATAAGAGTCAAGTGTCAACACCATCTCCTTTTTCTAGTCTCATGACATAGCAGCTAAAAGGCTAATAACACTTAGCTGATCAGTTCCATTGCTACCTGGTGGCCTTTCTGATTCAGTGCTCCTGGGTAATACCCTTCCCAACCCCACATAGTCTGTGAACTCAGGGCTGGGGGAGTCAGGCCTCCACTCTCATCTTATCTCTTAACCCTCACATTGTCTCCCAAATAACTGGACCTTAGCAGAAACAGCTTTTAGTCTTCAGGGTTACCACCAACCATTACTGGCCAGCATGCCCTTCTCTGTCCTCTAGAAGCTGGCTGGGATGGCCATGGTATTTGCTGACACTTTGGGCAATCTTGTGAAGAAAATGCTCCCGGGGACAGACAGGCCATGGCGGTTTGAGACCAGGGGATATCCTGGATGCACCCAGCCTAAAAAAAGCATTCTTAAAATTCATGATTTATGTTAATGTACCAGTTGTTATGGGTCTAGCATTCCTTTTTTTGGACCAGGAATCTCCCATAGTATGTGTTGGGTTAGCCTACCTTGCAGGTTCAGGGGATGGGAGTAGTTCATTTCTCGCAATGGGAAGTACTAAACTGTAGACTGTATGTCAGCCTAGAGCCCTTGGTGGTGATGATGTAGGGAAATTCATTCTGACAAGTATTGACTATCTGTGCAGGGCCAGCTACGTATTTTATGGCCCTCCTAATCTAATAAATCTGATGTTCTCATAAGAAGAGGAAGTGGTGTTAGGGATGCACTTGCACAGGGAAAAACACCATGTAAGGGTACAGTGAGAAGCAGCTTTCTGCAGGCCAAGGAGAGAGATCACTGGAGCAATCATATTTGCTAGCATTTGATCTTGGATTTCCAGTCTGTAGAATTGTCAGAAAATAAATTTCTTCTGTTTAAGCAACTCAGTCTTTGGTATTTTTATAACAGTTCTAGAATATTTATAGTGGTATCAATTCTTTCAATTTATATAGCAAAAAAATCAGTATCAGAAATGAATGAAACAAAAAAACTGTCAATTTTCAAAAGCATTTTTGCTTTAAAATGTTAATTATTTAAAAATGGATATATAATAGAATATCAACTAGTAAATATAGAAAATCATGAAGTTAGAAAATCATAAATGGATGCTAAAATTATTGAGTAAAAGTTGGTGAAGAAAGATATATTTACACAATCTCAGAATTTCCCCACACATTCCTTTTAACTATAAGTGGAAAAAACAGTAACTTTTTGGGGGAGACACCTACCAGACATCACCTTAACTAAGCGATCAAAGCCAACACCACTGATAGTAGAGAAAACAGTGTCTTCTGTACCTATACCTTGATGGCTGCACTTGGCAAAACATATCTTTTTAGGGATATTGCTCCAATAATTTATAAACTAAATATGATAACAAAAATAAGATAAGCTCACTTCAAAGAACATACTACAAAATATCTAGACTCTGTTCTTAGTGTCTAATTCAAGAAATCAAATGGTTGAGGGATGCAGATTAAAGAAGGAAAATGCAAGTGTGAATTATCTTTTCAGTTGGAGTTTTTTTAAAGAAGAATTTTCTGCTTTCTAATTTAAGGGTGTAGATCCTTCCTTTGCCCCATTGTTGAGAGCTTGAGTGTGTGTGTCTGCGTGTTTCTATTGTGTATCTGCCTGTCTATCATCTGTCTAGCTTTCATCCACCTAATGTCAGAGGTGTGGCTTGTATCAAATTATCTCTCAGAACATATTTTTGGGTGAGAGAAAGACAGGTTATTATTTGTTGCCCAGGACTGAGCCAGGAAATGTGAGGCAGAGGCCAGTAGTTTTGCCAGAACTTGAAATTTGATTGCCTTTTGAAGAGGAAGTGGGAGACTCCTGGGAGAGGTATTTTCATGGTCCACAGATTTAGAACACAACTCTAACTTTAAAAATGCCTTTTTCAAGCTGGACATCGATCTACCATTTGATCCAGCAATACCACTCTTGGGGATATACCCAAAAGACTGTTACTCCAGAGGCACCTGCACATCCATGTTTATTGCGGCACTATTCACAATAGCCAAGTTATGGAAACAGCCAAGATGTCCCAGCACTGACGAATGGATTAAGAAAATGTGGTATCTATACACAATGGAATTTTATGCAGCCATGAAGAAGAACGAAATGTTATCATTCGCTGGTAAATGGATGGAATTGGAGAACATCATTCTGAGTGAGGTTAGCCTGGCTCAAAAGACCAAAAATCGTATGCTCTCCCTCATATGTGGACATTAGATCAAGGGCAAACACAACAAGGGGATTGGACTATGAGCACATGATAAAAGCGAGAGCACACAAGGGAGGGGTGAGGATAGGTAAGACACCTAAAAAACTAGCTAGCATTTGTTGCCCTTAATGCAGAGAAACTAAAGCAGATACCTTAAAGCAACTGAGGCCAATAGGAAAAGGGGACCAGGAACTAGAGAAAAGGTTAGATCAAAAAGAATTAACCTAGAAGGTAACACCCACGCACAGGAAATCAATGTGAGTCAATGCCCTGTATAGCTATCCTTATCTCAACCAGCAAAACCCCTTGTTCCTTCCTATTATTGCTTATACTCTCTCTACAACAAAATTAGAGATAAGGGCAAAATAGTTTCTGCTGGGTATTGGGGGGGGGAGCGGGAGGGGGTGGAGTGGGTGGTAAGGGAGGGGGTGGGGGCAGGGGGGAGAAATGAACCAAGCCTTGTATGCACATATGAATAATAAAAGAAAAATGAAAAAAAAAATGCCTTTTTCTTTCTTTCTTTTTTTTTTTTGGTGGGACTGGGGTTTGAACTCAGTCCTTTGTTTGAGCTTTGCATTTGCAAAGCAGGGCTCTACCGTTTGACCCACTCCTCTAATCGATTTTGCTTTTGTTGTTTTGGAGATGGGGTCTCTCGCGCTAAGTATTTGCCGGGGTTGGCCTAGAACCGGCATCCTCCTGATCTCAACCTCTCAGATAGGTAGGGTTATATACGTGAATCAACAGAACCAGGCCTACTTGCATCTTACCCTAAGGGGAATTCTTGTTGCTCACGACCAAAAGGTCAGGTGCAAAATAGCCAGATGCAAAAACTTACAAGCTTTCAAAACTATGACTGTGAGCTGCCAGCCGGACATGCATATATCATCACCAAGTTCTTGTCTTCAGCTCATAATACAGGCAGCATGCCTCTGCAAGGGCTGTTAAAGGCACAATTGCAGAGAAGGGACTCAGGGTAGCAAGTTCTGGCAGATGCAATTAAAAAAGCAGGGCACTCAGAACAATTTACTTGTAGATTTCCCAGGGCCCCCCTCCAGCTACTCTCTGTCTTCAGTTACTACTCCTTTTGAGTTTTCCCCCACCAAACTTCCCTGCTTCCGCCCATGGAATTCCTCCCTTCAACCAACCAACTGAGCATGCGCGTACTTAGTGCGCACGCGCCAGCTCCGGTCCAATCAGAATCGCAAACCTGGGGGAGATAGGGTAATCTCGATGTGGGGCGGAATCAAAAAGCCAACACACGGATATGATTGGCCGGTTCAGTCCACATTTTTTGTTGGGCGGAGTTCGCCCTCCAGCCACTCTATAAACTTCTCCTAATTTGGGAAGTGTAGGGCGCGGAAGGGGTGTGGGGGCCGATAGTGCGTTTGTGTGCGCCTGCGCTGGGCGGCGGGACAGGGCGTGTTCCTTGTGGGGATCCCGTTTTGCCTTAACGGGTTGCATCTTTCGTCACCTGAGTGTGCCCTGCGGACTTTCCACGGTCACCGTGTCAGCTGCCACCCTCCGCGGTGAGTGTGTGAGGCTTTGCATTGGGTCTGCTTCTCTCCGCGCGGCCAGAACCGTGCTGGACCCTTCCCGTTCCCTTCCCCGCTGCCCCATCCTCCTCCCGGCGCCGCTCCCGGACCCCTGCCCTCTATGCCCAGGCCGACAGGAGAGTGGCTGGCCGAGGGTTTCCTTGCTTCCCCCCGTCCTGACTCCTCCTGCCATCGCCCACTGCTTTGTTGTCGTTTGCTCCAGAATATGTCCAAGTCTCTGAAAAAGTTGGTGGAGGAGAGCCGGGAGAAGAACCAGCCGGAAGTGGACATGAGTGACCGGGGCATCTCCAACATGCTGGATGTCAGCGGGTTGTGTAAGTTCTCCGACAGGGCCTTCCCCTGGGGATGGCTGGAAGGGTTTGCAAGTTTGCCTAGTAGCTGCTGCTCCAGGTAGGGGAGATTACAGTGGTTTCGATCCCACCCTCTGCTTTTGTAAACGTCTCTAGAGGGGAGCTTCGCTCAGAAAGTTTGCAGTCAGAATTTGTTCTGATCCTCCTGGAAAACGAGCATGAGAATCTAGGATCAGAGTCACACAGACAGCGTGGCTGTCCCTCATTAGCTGTCTGTGCAGATTTATGGCATTTGGGTGGGTTTTCCACACAGTTTACCTAATGGCCACTTTGTTTAATTTTGGGAAATCAGTTTTGAATCACTCTTCCTTTCTCCCAATATAGCTTTTTGCCACGAGCAAAGATGCATATGAAAAACTATAGGATTAAATAAGAATCTGTGGCTGGGAGTGTTGTAACAGTTCTTGACTTGTTATCTGTTTTTGGGTTTGTAGTCTCCTGATTTACTCCGAAGTTGTTAACGCCCTGTGCTCCAAACTTTCCATCTTACCTCCAAAGTCCGGTGTTAATTCACTAGGTTGCTATCAGTGTTACCTTCTGGTAACACTCATTTTATAGTGTTATTCTCTTCCTTAAAATTAGGGATTGCAAACTCAGATGCCACAGTAAGAATGGTTAAGAACAGGCATATCTATGTTTCCCAGTGATTGGACAGCTACTCCACTGCTATTCAGTATCCAGTGCCAGAGTACTTTTTTAAAGAACCAAACTTCCTCAAATTTCTTACATATTAACTTTCTTAATTTTAAAATGTTAGCAACTTAATCCAATACATCAAATGCAGCATTTCTTCAGGCAAAATGTGACTTTAGTTTGGACCTCCTTTAAACACTTCTAGCTGTCCATTATTGACAGTAGTGCTCCCAGTTCCTGGGTGTGACATACAAGCCCTTTCTGAACCTACTAACCTTATCTCTTCTCATTGCATTTGGCATCCCAACCATATTGGTCCATTGCCCTGCTTGAGCCAGAGTGTCCTGATCTTTTGCACCTTTTGCAAGTATTGTTTTTGATCCTCCCCACTCTTCTTGTCTGAAATCCTTTTAACTTACCTGTCAGAATCAGCTCAGATATCAAAGATGTGTAAACTTTCTTTGTCTACCAACTTGATGTAGACATTTTCTCTCTATGGTGAAATTAGACTGCCTTGCTTCCCGACTCCTATTACACAGGATGTGTAATTTTCTGTTCTTTAGTAAATCTAAAAGTCTCTCCTTTTCCTACTGGAAGACTAAAGTGATGCACTATTTATATTATGGTATTCTTTGTACTAGAGTGTCTGGACACCAAGTAAGTGTTCCAAAATGTTTGACAAATGAAGGAAAGGATGACCAGTGAGGACCCTCCAAATTTACGAGATCCAGTCCAGGATGACATCCAAGAAGAGGAGAATATTATTTCAGGAGATGCTAAAGGATGGTTAATAGCTTTGCTAAGGCAGGAGTGAGCAGGGTCCAGTGTTGCTGGTGAATCTGTGGTGTGTGCTTGGGACACAGGTTGGGGTTCCATGCTATTTGGCACATCTTGGCAAAAGGAAAGGAGATGAAAAGTTGTAGATAGATGAGACCTTTGTGTTTGGTAACCATTATTCCATCATGAAGGACTACCTACATTAACTTAGGTTTTGTACGAGTTAAGCCTCTCAGCCTTTTTTTTTTTTGCCGTGCTGGGATTGAACTCAGGGTTATACCTTGAGCCACTCCATCCAGTGTTTTTTTTTTTTTTTTTTTTTTTATTTTCTTTATTATTCATATGTGCATACAAGGCTTGGTTATTTCTCCCCCTGCCCCCACCCCCTCCCTTACCACCCACTCCACCCCTCCCGCTCCCCCCCCCAATACCCAGCAGAAACTATTTTGCCCTTATCTCTAATTTTGTTGTAGAGAGAGTATAAGCAATAATAGGAAGGAACAAGGGTTTTGCTGGTTGAGATAAGGATAGCTATACAGGGCATTGACTCACATTGATTTCCTGTGCGTGGGTGTTACCTTCTAGGTTAATTCTTTTTGAATCTAACCTTTTCTCTAGTTCCTGGTCCCCTTTTCCTATTGGCCTCAGTTGCTTTTAAGGTATCTGCTTTAGTTTCTCTGCATTAAGGGCAACAAATGCTAGCTAGTTTTTTAGGTGTCTTACCTATCCTCACCCCTCCCTTGTGCTCTCGCTTTTATCATGTGCTCATAGTCCAATCCCCTTGTTGTGTTTGCCCTTGATCTAATGTCCACATATGAGGGAGAACATACGATTTTTGGTCTTTTGAGCCAGGCTAACCTCACTCAGAATGATGTTCTCCAATTCCATCCATTTACCAGCGAATGATAACATTTCGTTCTTCTCATGGCTGCATAAAAATTCCATTGTGTATAGATACCACATTTTCTTAATCCATTCGTCAGTGCTGGGGCATCTTGGCTGTTTCCATAACTTGGCTATTGTGAATAGTGCCGCAATAAACATGGATGTGCAGGTGCCTCTGGAGTAACAGTCTTTTGGGTATATCCCCAAGAGTGGTATTGCTGATCAAATGGTAGATCGATGTCCAGCTTTTTTAAGTAGCCTCCAAATTTTTTTCCAGAGTGGTTGTACTAGTCTACATTCCCACCAACAGTGTAAGAGGGTTCCTTTTCCCCGCATCCTCGCACCCTGTTGTTGTGGTGGGTTGTGATGATGGCTATTTCTAACAGCGGTGAGGTGGAATCTTAGTGTGGTTTTAATTTGCATTTCCTTTATTGTAGAGATGTCTCACCAGTGGTTTTTTTATGATTTTTTTTTTTCAAGATTAGGTATCTCAACAAACCTGTTTTGCCTGGACTGCCATTTGAAACTGCGTCATCTTCCCTGAGTAGCTACCGGATTACAGTGTGAGCCCACTGGTACCTGGCTTCAGTCTCTTGATAATTGTTTTCTCTTGCATTAGGGACAGGTTTATGGTGGCATTAACAGAGCAAAACGTCTCTGGTACCAAATTGGCAGCTGAGGATCTGGACATGGCCATGGGTGCCTCTTCCCAGCTCTGCCATGGTCATGATCATTATTTGATTATTTGGGCCCTGTTGCTATAGAGGCAAAAGTGTGGACTGTAGGCAAGTGGCCTGGTACAGTTGGTCTTTCACTCCCGCACGCCTCCCCCACCACACACACCAACTTCTCAAGCGCTACAACACAACTTTCCCCATGGGTTTGAAGGAGAGAGTTTGCTTTAAGCATAGCAGTTTTACACTCCTCAGCTTTGGAAGAGGAGACTCCATGTAATATTACAAATGGGGAAAGTGGCTTAGCATGTTCAAGTTCATTTATCGTCTTTTTTAAAGCCTTTGGCTCTTAAGTAGAAGATGAGAAAAAGATAGCCACTTGCTCGTCCTGAAAACAAAATGTTCTGATACTACGTCGGATGGTGGAAAATGCTAAGATCATTCTGGCAGTTTTTCGCAAAGAAGCAGCTAAAGAAAAGCAGGAGCACCTCTTGGGAGTTCCATGGAAATTAATTTGGAAATCTCACCTCTGGTTTCTATAGCATTGGGCCAAGGAAGGCTGCATTCTGCTAACTCCCTGCCCACTGGATTCCTTAGAGGCTGCAGGGTTCCAGAATGCTCTTCAGAAGCCTGTCTCTCAACTGGGCACATACTGCTTAGTATATATGTGTTTTGAAATGTTTGACACGGTTATGCAAAGTGCAGTGTTACTCACGTTATGTCAGTGTCAACCTTGGAAGTTATATGTTATCCAGATTAAACATAGGGGACATTAAACATAGGGGACATTAAACATAGGGGACATTAAACATAGGGGACACATTCTTGCACATGCAGAGAATAATTATTTCTTGAGTCTCAAGCTTTGCCTTCATTGCCTTTACTCTGTTTAATTCCTCAAAAGATAAGCACAAGCTTAGCTTTGAAGGTAAGAATGGAGGGTTTGTTATTTTGTTTTTTTTTTTAAAGTATTTGTGATGCCTGTCTTTTGCTTGGGAGAGTTGAGTTGAGTCTTATTGACAAAGTACCGTACTTCCTCAAATACAGTAAGTTACCTTTTAAAGGCGTTTGAGCGAGTTTCCATACCAAAAACTTTTGGATGGGGAAAGTTTCTTGGTCTGGAGTCAGACATCAGACGGGTTCTACAGTTTTCTGCCAGCCCAGCCAGATTCTAGGGATGCCAAGATCTCACTCTGAGACCACATAGAGCAGTGCCTTGGAGTTGGATAGACTGCATTCAAATTTTGCTCCTTAGCACTGTGTCACCTTAGAGAAGCTACTTAACCTTTCTGAGCTTCAAGTTCCTCATTGACAAAAGGGAGTCTAAGTCTATTCATAGGACTAGTTTAGCATCAAATGCAATAATAAAGGAGTGGTTCTTCTAATGGGCCAGGAACAATAATCACAAACATAATCATGGGTTAGCTGGAGATGCTATTTCAAAAGCCCTGTTTAACCTGGAAGGCTGTCATCCTTGTCAGGAATGCATGTGGGCAACGCAGTTGGGAAATGGTTGAAGAGCTAGGGGAGGCAGAGATAGTAACATAATGGTTCAAGGCAAGCCTGGGCAAAAAGTATGAAAAATAACAAAAGCAAAAAAGGGCTGGTGGTGGGAGGGTATAATTTTAGCTATAATTTTTGTTAAAATCTTTTATTTTCCCTCTCTCTAAGTTGTGTTTATAGGCCCATCTTTGTGTTTGGAAACACCCAGTATCAGCCCTAGGAAGCCCTCTTTCCCTTTTTCTTTCCAGCTCACCCCTTGTCAATCCATGCTTGTGGAAAGAATGAGTGACTTGTCTACATGACTCCATTTTAGTGTCACTTCCTCTGAGAAGATCTACAAGTATTCTAGATTTTAACCCACCCCCCCATTCAGCCTGGAGTAAGTATTTTCTCTGTGTCTGCTGTATCTGGCATACTGATTTGGGAAAAGTTTTTTGAGGTAAGAATGTTACTGCTTTTAGCCATGTGATTCATGCCTGTAATCCTAGCTAC